TAGAAAAGGATTCACTAAAATGTGTCAAATCCTGCAATGGTAAATGAGACTTGAATCAGAACTGTTTTCACTACAAGCCAAAACAACAATGTACTTGTCAGGACGAAGGCATTAATTTAAGTGTGGTAAAATTACTGTAGTAGTAGGCATCCGCCAGTCACGAATGACTTTGGCTGTAACAAAACAGAAAAGCACAAAATCTGTCGAGCAGTTGTTTCAAGGTTAACATAATATATTTCCRTCTCTGCAAATGTCTCTGTTGAAGCCATTTAAAAAGAATTTTAAAAGCAATATCACATAAGAAAGGATCTGGGGTCTTCAAAAATTATATTTTTCAATTCTCTTTTCTCAACCAATCTATGGAAAAATGGAAAGATTTTACTTGTTCAAATTGTTCAATTTTTCTCGTGCAGTTATGAAATTTACCAARTTACACAAATTTGACATTGAATCAAATGTACAAGCTAGAAAGAAGGCAATTACAAAATGTACAAAGCAGTGAACTTAGCAATAAGAACTTAGCAATATAAAGTACACAATATTAATGATCTAGAGGTGAAAGGTGACTCATTGAAGATGGGAAGAAACACCAAACCTCAGAAATACAAAGTCTATACTTGTGACAAGAAATCAAAAGAGGATGTTACGCCTCTAGCTGTAACTGACAACTGCTTGAAGCTCAAATTGACTAAAAAAATGTTTGCTTTGATGTAACAGTGCACTTGTCTAGAAGTACATTTATCTGTTTTGCTCCCTAAAACACTAAAATTTCCTATATTTGGTGAATGATTACGCAGCCAAATATAGTTGTTGACATTATTGCAGTGGCCCTTGCACTTGTCGAAAGTTTCTTTGCTGGTGAAAAAACTATCTTAGGCTAACATTAAAATAAAACATAAATCTTTCTGTATTTGCCACCATTTCTTAGGACACTAAACAAATAAACGTGTCTTTCTACGAAGAATGTTTGTGATGTTTGGCAGTGATTTGAATAATTCAAAATGGCTTCTATGTTAATCAATTCAAAATGGCTTCCAAGCTTATCAATTCAAAATGGTTTCTAGCTTAATCAATTCAAAATGGCTTCCAGTCTAATCAATTCAAAATGGCTTCCAGGCTAATCAATTCAAAATGGCTTCCAGGCTAATCAATTCAAAATGGCTTCCAGGCTTATCAATTCAAAATGGCTTCTAGACAAATCAATTCAAAATGGCTTCCAGGTTAATCAATTCAAAATGGCTTCAAGCCTAATCAATTCAAAATGGTGGCAAAGTAAATTAAAGTTAAACCTTTAGACTTTTCCAATTAAATTGCATGGTGGTAGTTGGCCTTATCAGACTTGACCTTCACATTTAACCCACTTTATTATCCCAGAAATAAACTTTTTAGTCTTCCTGTCAGATATGATAATCAAAACTTATTGCGGAGTTGTCCGAATGTTGCTAAGTGATGAGCCTCTTGATCACACTGTGCATCACTGTCATGCACACCAGGGAATGGTAGGGCAGGGTCACTTGAGACTCGCATTTGCACTGGCCCTCACTTTAAGTGCTGGCTTGGGTGACATCAGAGCTCCCCCCTGGAGTCTGCAGTGGGTGGCAGTTCAACATTCATGCAGTCAGTCTCCAGTATCAGGGCAGTCTTAGGATTGCTGGTCTTGGCCTTATAACTTGGCTCTAGTCAGGGCAACGAGACTACCAAAGAGATTAAGGCCTGCTGGGGTGGCAAGAAAGACTTGGTGCTGGTGGGGTCTCAGGGAGGCATAATTGTTTTAAGTCAAATGGGCGTGTACCCTATAGAGATGGAATACATTAAAGACACTTMGAAAATTCAAACTTTATTTTTCACAAAACAACAAAGATAAAAAATACAAGTTATACACAAAGTACAAGTCAATAAGTGGAATAAGTGAATTTACCTTGTTACCATGACATCAAAGTCACAAGATGAATTCACTTACCTTATAAGGGTGATGTTCTGACCTCTCCCTGTCATAACTCTAACTCCCGCCCCACCCCTAAAAACAAACTCCCACCCCACCCAAACTACGAACCCCTCCCCACCCAAAGGCTAACCCCCACCCCACCCAATGCCAAACCCCTCCCCACCCAGTTGGACCATACTGGAGAAGATTGACGTCATACAAACTCACTAAGTTTCTGTTAGAGTAGGAAGCACTTAATCCATGAAATTATTCTAATTGTGTTGTTTAAGTTTCATAACAATTAAATAGTAATCAGTCTTGGGTTTCATGGATTAAATACAAGTCATATACTCTAACAGCTTTGATCATTATGATAGTTTATTGCAAACACAATTCCATCATATAGTAGCTGTTTAATGTTTTGTCAATGAACAACAAGCATGTCGAAGCTACTTGGATCACGACTCGTTTCTACAACAATACGTTTCTGTTAAAGATTTGCCGAAAAGGAAAAGTTTGCAATGTAACAACTATCACAGTGACAGCAAAATGAAATTGTGGTATTACCATCAAAAATAAACACAAACTAATAAGAGAAGTACTCTCACAAAGCAAACAATTATATGCAAATAAAATGCACTAAACACGAGTGCAAATAGTCTTGTACAAAAGAACCAATTATTCATGCAACAAATACTCTGTGTTCAAACACTTCACATGATATCTGTGCCAGTAAACACGAGGTGAATTCCAAGTGAAACAGTATTTGATTAAGATCTGCTTGTCTATTCACTTAAAGCACATCTCCGACATAAATAATTGTTTAAAGGTTCAGGGACGACATGATTCAACCACCAATGTCAATGCTGCTGTTCCTACTTCCTATGAAAGTTGACAATGATACCTGTACATG